ACTGTGGACCTGGTGCTGACAAAGCAACACTTGGCTTCCCCCAAGTGGGACACAGGCCCCGCCACCACCCTGGAGCCACAGTCCATCAAATCACAGCCAATACTGCTCAGACCCCATGGTGCAAAATACGGTCCCTAACCCAGCCCAACTCAGAAACAGCAGCTGTGGGTAGCTGTTGAGAACCGCTGCTTTAGAGCCATAAGACTATCGGAAAACAAAGATATTTACGTTACAATTCATAATAGCAAAATTACAGTTATGAAGTAGCAACGAAAATAATTTTATGGTTGGTGGTCACCACAACATGAAGAACCGTATTAAAGGGTTGCAGCATTAGGAAGGTTGAGAACTACTGCTCTAACGGAAGGTGGTGCTCACTTGTCATTCAATTTTTATATCTTTATTATTATTTTTTATAAATATCAGAATTTTATTTTTTATAGTTCTGGAGGCTGGAAGTCCAAGATCAAGGTGCCAGCAGATTTAGTGTCTGATGGAAAAAGCTATAGCTTTTATCAATGCTATTAGCCTTGGTTGGAATTGTAGGATCTCGATAACGAACCCAAATGTTAGACTGTTTGGTCACCTCACGCAGACATGTTAGCATGAGGTAGCCTGGGCCCAGCCTCTCTTCCTGTGCTTCCTGAACGTTTCTGCACAGCTTTGGGGAGGCAGGTGGGGCTAGAGCGGCACACAATACATCTCTTCGCTGTAGCTAACAGTTGTGCAAGCTGCTTCCTGCTGACTGAAGGATCCTTCTAGAAAGTTCCAAAAGGGCTTCTGGACACAGCCAGACTAGCTTGTGAATCGTGTCCTGCAGGCAGAGCTTCATGCCAGCCTTGCTCAGCCCGAGTGCCCCCTTTCCTGCCCATGTCCTGCCCTGTTTGTGCCTCTGTCTGCACCCTTGTGAAGGCAGGCAGGTTGCCTCCTCCAGGGAGCTCAGGCCCTGAGCAGGTCAGTGGGCTGCCGTCAGTCCTGACCTGTCATGGAGGTGAGGGGCCCGGTCAGGCCCAGTGTGGGACCCAGTCTGGAAGATGTCAGTAGAAAAATACCACGAGAGAGGAGTGGTGTGAGTGTTGAACCCAAATCAGGATTCCCCCTGCCTCAGTGTCTGCGTGACCCTTTCCACCCCTCCTCTGCACCCCCAGTGACCGTTCTGGTACATTCTACCTCCTCTCTTAGCTCAGCCTCCCAGCTTGGCCTCTCTCCTCTCCAACTTGGCCTCTGTCCGGTGCTCGTTGTGAAACATAAATCTGATCACGTGCTCCCTTCTGGCTCGACCCTACTACCACTGCCTCTCCTATGCCCAGGCGGCTAGGTTTATTTCTCGTCCTCTGAAGTGGTCCTCGTTTCCCTTGATGTGTGTTTGGGAGACACATCTACTTTTGCTGTTTCATTGTCACATGCAGCTTTGTAATACTCCTTTGCATGTATAAGCCATAGTTTTGCTTGCAAATAATGCCTCTGAATACACCAGGTAGGATCATTGGTGTCCGTGTTCCTCAAGCACATGTGAGGATCTCTCTAGCCTACTGGTTCTTACTGAGGGCAACTCCCCCTGGAGACACTGGGCCATGTCTGGGGACATCTGTGGTTGTCATGACTGGGGGTGCTCATGGCATTAGGTGTGGGTAGAGGCCAGGGATGCTGCTCAGTGCTCGGAAGTGCCCAGGATGGCCCCTCCCCACAGAATGACCAGGCGAATGAGGGATGTCTGCCTTACCATGGAGATGCTGGGCCCTACGTGTGAATGTCTTGTTTATGCTTTTTAAGGCCATTTGGCTTGTCCTTTGCTGGTTTCCCTGTCACAGTTACAATGGGGGCATTTGTCCATCCTTTTTTTTTTTTTTTTTTAAATTAATAAACTTTATTTTTGAGAGCAATCTTAGCTTCTCAGCAAAATGATGAGGCAGGTTTGGAGATTTCCTGTGTACTCACACAGCCTACTGTCAGCATCGGGCACCAGATGGTGCATTTGTTATAATCCATGAACCTAGATCGGCATATCATAGTCATGAGAGTCCATAGGTTACCTTAGGGTTCACTCTTGGTGTCATAAATTCCGTAGGGTTGGAAACTTCACAGAGTAATTTCACTGCCTTAAAAACACTCTGTGCTAAACCTATTTATCCTCCCTCCCCTTTCTGGCAGCCACTGCTCCTTTCACTGTCTCCATAGTTTTGCCTTTTCCAGAATATCATACTCAGATGCCCTCTGACTTGTGATGGATTATTATATCTTGAGAAGCTGAAATATTGTAAGTGAAAAACATATTTAGCCCTGGCTAGTGGTTAGTGCATCGGCCTGAGGACCTAAGAGTCGATTTCTGATCAAGGGCACTTGACTTGGTTGTAGTTCATCCTCGCCCCAGTCAGACAGGGTGTGTACGGGAGGCAACCAATAGATGTGTCTCTTTCACATTGATGTTTTCCTCCTCTGTCTCTCTTCCTCTCCCTTTTTCCCTCTCCCTCTCCTCTCACCCTCCTACTCTCTCTAAAAGTCAATGGAAAAAATACCTTACGTGAGGATTAAAAATAAAACAAGACGTACTTAGTACACCTAATCTACTGAACACAGAATGTAAGTGATAGAACACTTACATTCACCTACTGTTGGGCAAAATCCTCTTGATGCAGCTGCCCAGTGCCACATGAGAGTATTAGACTGAATATCGCCAGCCTGGGACAAGATCCAAATTCAAAATTCAAAGTATGGCTACTACTGAATGCCTATTGCTTTTGCACCATTGAAAAGTCAAAATAATTGCAAGTTGAACCATTTTAAGTCGAGGACCATCTGTGGATGGGATTATATATATGTAGCTTTCTTTTTCTTTTTTAAATATATTTTTATTGATTTCAGAGAGGAAGGGAGAGGGAGAGAGAGAGAGAAACATCAATGATGAGAGAGAATCATCAATCAGCTGCCTCTCCTGCATGCCCCCTATTAGGGATCGAGCCCACAACCCAGACATGTATCATTGACTGGAGTCGAACCCGGGACCCTTCAGTCCGCAGGCTGATGCTCTATCCAATGAGCCAAATTATCTAGGGTCTTTTTTAACATGTGCAATTCAGTATTCTCTCTATTATGTAGATTTGCAACTGCCATTACAGTAACTTTTAGGACATTTTCATCCAAAGGAAACTACACCTTTTTTTTTTTTTTAAATATATATTTTATTGATTTTGTACAGAGGAAGGGAGAGAGATAGAGAGCTAGAAACATCGATGAGAGAGAGTCATCGATCAGCTGCCTCTTGCACACCCCCTACCGGGGATATGCCCGCAACCAAGGTACATGCCCTTGACCGGAATTGAACCCAGGTCCCTTCAGTCCCCAAGCGGACGCTCTATCCATTGAGCCAAACCGGTTTTGGCGAAACTACACCTTTTAATGATCACTGCCTTATTCCCCATCTTCCTCCCCCAGCCCCTGGCAACCGTCACCCACTTCCTGTCTCTGTGGATTTGCCTGTTCTGGACATTTCACATAGATGAAAGCACACACTGTGTGGCCTTTTGTGTCTGGCTTCTCACTGAGCATTCTGTTTTCAAGGTCCATTCATGTTGTAGTGAGTGTCAGTGCTTCACTCCTTTTCATGGCTGAATAATACTCCATCGTGTGAATGGATAAACATTGTGACATCTAGGGGGATTTCAGAGGGGCCCTGGCAGCCTCTGCAGCTGTAAGCAAGTGATGGTGTGTCCAGATGCATTTTTTTTTTGGGGGGGGGGTGGGGGGAGTCATCCACCAAATTCTCAGGTTTGTGATGAAGAAAGAAAAACAACCACTGGACTGAAGGATGACCTGGGACCCTGGTACTTGCTTCCACTGTGACCTCTGATGCTGTTTGCATGTTAATTTGCAACCAGTTCTTTGAAACATCAGCTTTTGGTAAAAATTTGGACAGAGGGAAGTGTATGTTTTCCTCTCTTTTCCCTTTTCTTTAGGGCGCTGCTTCTGAACCAGGTTGTTCTGCCCCAAGGGAACAGTGGAAGTTTGGAGACACCTGTGGTTGGCATGCCTGGGGGAGCTCCTAGCATTGGGGGTTGGGGCCAGGTGTGTTGCTCAACACCTTGCAGTGCTCAGGATAGCCCTCCACAGAGAACGATCCCGTCCCAATGTTAACACAGACCTACCTTAGGGTCATCTGGACCGAACAAGGTGCACTTGTGGGTCCTTGTTGGATGTTGGCAGAGTGCTGTGGGATAGTTTCTAATAAAAGGTAACTCCTGGGCCCTGTGCCATCAGGATGCAACTCAGAAGACAAAACTCCTTCACACCTGTGGAGTCACACCCAGAGGTGTAGATTGCTGAGTGTGCTGGGCAGTGTCCTGTTAGCAGGTGTGTCTAGTGCGGGTGGAATTAGCCTCAAGGAGTTAATAGAGAGGCGTGGAGTTAATGGACCTGAGAAGTTGCCCTGTGTGGATAAGACCTGAGCTAGAGCTTTACAAAGGAGACTTGTGGATGTTTGGGTGTATGTCTCCTTGGACTCACATAGGCTGGGTCTCCTCCCTGGGCACTGCTGACATTGGGGCAGGCCATTGGGAAGGTTTTGCAGTATTTCTGCCCCCCTTGCACTCCATCGTGACAACCATAGATGTCCCCGAACATTGTGTGCCAGTGCACCTGTATGCTGGATTGCCCTCAATTGAGAATGACAATGTGTGCTTATTGTAACAAAAGGTGCAAAGCATGTTAACACATGAAGTACTAAGGAAACCTCCCCTGACATCTGATGTGTGTCCACAGCCCAGCAGGATTATGCTGTGCTCATGGGGACACTTACCTGATGACACCAAGAGTCCTCATTTGAGAGGGTCTGGGGACCCTGGGGAAGGGGTATCAGTGTGCATGCCCAGGAGGTAACAGGTTTTATTGTCCCATGATCTGAGGGCAGATTCCATCCTTAGTGCACAACATGTTCCTGTGCCTGGCATCCAGAAGACAAACTAAATACAGGCAGGTAAGTGACCTCTGTCTTGGTATCTCTGCAGATGGAGGATGGCCACACCCTCTTTGACTATGATGTTCGCCTGAATGACACCATCCAGCTACTGGTTCGGCAGAATATCGTGCCTCCCCCGAGCAGCAGCAACAACCAGGAAAGAGACTCTGAGCTTTCTGACACGGATTCTGGCTACTGCCTGGGCCAGAGCGAGTCGGATAAGTCTTCCACTAGCGGTGAGGTGGACAGAAATGCAGGCTTAACAGATGAGGCAATATATGAAGAGACGGATCTGGGCCTTTACAAGGTGAGGCTCCTGCAGAAGGTTTGGGGTCTGGCTAATCTCTGCACCCCTGAGGATCATTCCTCATGACTTTGGCTTCCCCACCACCCAGCCATGAGCTCATGAATCAACTCCCCTCCATCCCGGTGGCTGGGCACTCACAGTCCTGCCGTGAAAACATGAAATTTTCTTTGGCAGAAACATGTGCTACTCCAGATTTCTGATCCCTGAAACAGAATCCTGGGTCTGGCCTACAGGTATCTGCTATGGCCTTTGTAGTGGCTGTAAAATTTCTGAACTCTCTGCCACCTTCTAAGATCATGAAATTTCATATAATGATCTGGATTCTCAGCTTTTCTTGAGAAATGGACAGTTCTGGCCTCCCTAGGCTGATTCTGCTTCCAGGGAAATTGGCAAAATCTTGCAACATTTGTGGATGTCATGACTGGGGATACTGCTGACATCAAGTATCCCCAGTCATGGGGGACAGAGATTCTCAGCACCCAACCATGGCTAGGATGGTCCCTCACAGAGGGCTCCCAATGTCCACAGTGCTGCATTCAAGAAACCCAATTCCTGGCATTTGGATTTGCATCCCAGGCCTGAAACGGCCAGTGCCAAGGATCAAAACAGCCCTGACCTATGACGAGTGAATGTTGCTGATCAGAATTCCTTCCCTGGGTTGGATAAGAGAGTTACCTTTTACCTTGCAGGTCAATGAGTACGTTGATGCTCGGGACACGGATGTGGGAAGTTGGTTTGAGGCGAAGGTTGTCAGGGTGACAAAGAAGCCACCATCCCAGGACACGCCTTGTAGCTCTACCTCATCCCAGGATGCACCCTCTAGTTCCACCTCATCCCAGGATGCACCATGTAGCTCTGCCTCATCTCAGGATGCACCATGTAGTTCCGCCTCGTCCCAGGACGCACCCTGTAGCTCTGCCTCATCCCAGGATGCACCCTGTAGCTCTGCCTCGTCTCAGGACGCACCATGTAGTTCCACGTCGTCTGAGGACCCATGCTGTAGCTCCACCTTGTCCCAGGATGCACCCTGTAGCTCCACCTCCACGTTGGAAGAAGATGATGATGTCATTTATCATGTGACGTATGATGAGTGAGTGTCACTGCAGGGAGGTGGTGGGCCTAAACTGTTGGTTCTATGTATATAGAATCTGGAGTTTGGTACAGCCTTGGGGATGATGGTCAGGATTCGAGGCTCCTACTCTCATGCTCCCAAAGAACACAGGAGGCCACACCTAAAGGACTAGTGTCACAGGGACCCAAAACTAGGCTGACCCCTCCTCAGGTCTCCTTGGAGAACTCTGCTCTGACCTTCCAGTCAGACATCCCCTCCCATTTCTTATTTTAGTTTATTCATTCGACGTATCATTGATTCCACATGAAACCATCTTACATGTTTGTCCTCTCCCTCACTGTAATACATATTTATTGAGCACTTAACTGTGTGTCAGGCCCTGTGCTGGCCACAGGGAATTCTTGTCTGTTAACCCACAGGGTATCTTAGTAGGCTTGGGCTCCATACAACATACCACATGCTGGGTGGCTTAAACAGCAGACATTTATGTTCTCACAGTTTTGGAGGTAGGAAGTCCAAGATCAAAGTATTGGTAGGGTTGTTTCCTTCTTGACTGTCTTCTCACTGTGTTCTCACATGGAAAGAGAGCGAGCTCTGGTCTCCTTTAATAAGGACACTAAACTCATCAGATTAGGGACCCAATTGTATGACCTCATTTAACTTCAGTGATCTCCTGAAAGGCCCCATCTCCGAATGAGGAGGATTACAATTCAGTCCATACAGGGCAAGCATGGCTGCCTATAGGATAAGGTGACCAGATCGTCCTGCTTTTGGCGGGACAGTCCCGATTTCTAAGTCTCGAGGCGTTTTAAAAAAGTCCCGATTTTTTGAAAGATTGGAAAGATTCTTTCCGAAAATCGGGACTTTTTAAAAACACCGCGGGATGCGGGAAAAATTGTTAGAATCGGGACAGTCCCGCCCAAAGTGGGACGATCTGGTCACCTTACTATAGGGAGCTCACATTCCAAAGGGCACAAGAGCTTCCTTTGGTTCTGCTGGGTCCCACTGCTTATCCCAATTTATGGCACATACTAAGCTTTTAGCTCTATAAAAATTATTGAATTGAATAATGAATCACTGTAGACACAAGATTCCCATCCTAAGGCGTGAGGGCTAATGAAGCTGAATTGAAACACATCAATGCCCATTTATATTTGCCTATTGCCTGTGGATGTTTTCTTAGTGATAGCAGCACAATTGAATATCCATGATAGAGACCTTTAGCTCACAAAGCCAAAAATACAGTAAACCCTCAATTTAATGGACTTGGGATTTAACAGACAAAATTTCTGGTCTGTAAGTCATATGTGAAAATTAATAGCCTGATGCCTGGCTGGTGTGGCTCAGTGGTTGAATGTCAGCCATGAACCAGATCATGGTTCAATTTCCCATATGCCTGGGTTGCAGGCTTGATCCCCATTTCGGGGCAAGCAAGAGACAGCAGATCAATGATTCTCTAATCATGTTTCTATTGCTCTCTCTCCTTTCCTCTCTGAAATCAATAAAAATATATTAAAAAACAACAACAACAAAAGAATTATTTGGAAATGTTTAAATGAAGAATCTCCGAGTATGAATTAAAAAAAAAAAATTTAACACCCTGTTAATTTTGAAATGCTTTTAACCAAGTGTTGTTTATAATTAAATTACAGGTTATTTTTGTTATTAATTTACTTATTTTAAACAAATTTTAGTGATTAAGACATGTTGCAGAAAACACTGTAGTAATTTTGCCAATATAAATAAATGTATATCTATAGCTATAGTCTACATATTTAAATCCAAGTGTCACTACTTCTAAACAATGTTCAGCAAATGATTAGCACATAATCACACTACATGGCACTTAGTATTAGTGCTGTTGTCGAGAGTGGCGTGACTTTTACAGCAGTTTTCATGCATGGTGGCTGATGTTCTGATGTGCTAAGCTACGCCACCCACGTGTGCATTTGTTTACTCAGGTGACTAGTGAATGCACACATTTACTAGATCAATTCAGTATAAATTTAAAATTACAGTATTAATTTTAATTACACAAATATGTCTACATAAGTAAAAACAGGTAAACTAATTTGTCAATTTTTTAATGTATACATTCGGAAAACATAGTCTATTATATAATGGGCTTTCAGCTTTAATGGACACCCCCTCGCTCAAATTAGTCTGTTGTATCGAGGTTTTACTGTATTTACTATCTGACCCTTTATAGGAAAAGTTTGGCAACCCTTGCCTTTGGTGGTTTACTAGTGAAAATAATGAGCGCCAGGCATATAGCTACTCATAATAGATCTGAAATTGTCTCCCACAGGTGAGGTTTAAATTTGTTTCTGGTAGAATATGTTTCTTTCAGACCATTTATTTTATGTCTTTTATGAGGCTGCTGGAATATTTCTGTATATCCAGCATAATGACTTCCTATATCGTATCCTAATAGCCAATGCATCCTGTTTATATAAATGAGTTAATGCATGTCCCTCTGCAAAAATCATTTTCAGAATGTGAAAAATGTTAGTTTACAGTTTCAGAGGCCAAAATCAAGGTGTCAGCCAGGCCATGATTTTCCCGAAACCTGTAGGAGAGAATCCTTCCTCGCCTCTTCCAGCTTCTGGTTGTGGCCGGCAATCCTTGGCTGGTGACCATATTCTAGCCTCTGACTCCCCTTTCATGTGTCATTCTCTGTGTCTGACTTGTTCCCTCTTGTAAGGACACCAGTTATAATGGATTAAGGCAGTGTGACTTAACTTGATTACATCTGCAAAGACTTTATTTTCAAATTAGGTGCCATATCCAGGTGCCAAGGGTTAGACCACCAGCATATCTTTTTGGGGGACACCAGGTCAACCCACAACACCTTCTGTAATTGAAACCTGTCTTCTGCACCTGTGTATTTTCGACACCAGCAGAGGGGAATTTACTTGCTTCTTCGATGGATAACCCACACCTCTGTTGTGTGTGGCTTTCTCCTCCTCCCTTCTCTCTTTGGAGGGAAAGGGGTCTGGTGTTGCCCTGGGATCTGAATGTGGGGTTTGCCTCCTAGTTACCCGGAATACGGTGTGGTCCAGATGAGTTCACAGAACGTCCGGGCCCGAGCCCGAGAAATCATCAGATGGCAGGATCTGAAGGAGGGCCAGGAGGTCATGCTCAACTACAACCCCGACAAGCCGAAGGATCGGGGCTTCTGGTACGATGCGGTGATCCAGCGGAAGAAGCAGACCCGGACAACACGGGAGCTGTATGCTAACATCAGTCTTGGGTGAGTGGCTATCCAGCCAGCGCTCTGTGGACAAGGCCCTCAGCCTCCACCTGTCCTCCCTCTGGGGCTCCACTCCAACTTCCTGCTGGTTTACTGGTGATCTGAGACTGACCCTTCATGCCCCTGCTTGGGAACCATCCCTGAGCCTCAGGTGGAAATGTCGGCCTTCCTTGTTCTCTTTTATTTGTTGTTTTAGATTTGGCAAATAGGTAAGAACTTAAAATGCATCCAAGTCAGAAGGTACTGCCCTGGCTGGTTAGAGGTTAGAGCATCAGCCTGCGCACCATAGGGTCTCGGATTTGATTCCCTGACAAGGGCACAGGTTTGCTCCTCACCCTGTCGAGGCGCCTGTGGGATGGTCTCTCATATTGATGTTTCTATCTCTCTTCTCTCCTCTCCTCCCTCTCTTCCACTCTCTGGAAAGCAATGGGAAAAAATATCCTCAGGGAGGATTACAAAAAAAAAAAAAATTCCCTGAACTTCCAGGAACATTCTGTGCATAAACAAGCATAAACATATACAAACACACCAAACCACATGTGCTCTATATCCATGGTCAACAAACTGTAGGCCAGAGCTGGCCCTTAGCCTGTTTTGGCAAATAAAGTTTTATTGGCACCCAGCCACACCCATCTGTTTGCTGATTATCTGTGGCTCCTTTTATGTTGGAAGTGCACATTTGAGTAGTTGGGAAAGAGACTGAAAACAGACAGAAAGAGACAGAAAATTTTTGCCAGTCTCTGTCCTACTTTGCCTTTGTTATGTGTGTGTTAAAACAATATATAATGGAAAACTTACTATCCTAGTCATTTTTAAAAATATGTTTTATTGGTTATAGAGGGGGGAGGGGAGAGAAACATCCATGTGATAGGATGCCTCCTGCATGTCCCCTTCTGGGGATGGAGCCTGAAACCCGGGCATGTGCCCTCACTGGAAATTGAACCAGCGACCTTTTGGTGCTCAACCAATTGAACCACACCAGTGTTTTTTTGTTGTTAATCTTCATCTGAGGATATTTTTTCCCTTGATTTTTTTTTTTTTTTTTTTAGAGTGAAAGGAGGGGGAAAGACAGAGGCACACATCAGTGTGAGAGAGACACATCAATTGGTTGCCACCCGCATGAGCTCTGGCCAGGCGGGAATGGAGAGGTGGGAATGGGGATAGAGCCCACAGTCAAAGTGGAATCAAACCTGCGACCCTTCAGGCTCCAGGTAGATGATCTAACCATTGAGCAACCAGCCAGAGCCATCCTAACCATTTTTAAATGTACAGTTTAGGAACATTAAGAACATTCACATTGTTGTGTGACCATCAACACTTTCCCATTTCCAAAACTTTTTAATCATCCCAAACAGAAACAATTTTATTAAACACTAACTCCCAGTCCCCCCCCGCCTAACAACCACCATTTTCTTTCTGTCCCTCCTCCAGGGACCTCATATGAATGAAATCATAGAGCATTTGTCTTTTTGTGTCTGGCTTATTTCACTCAGCATAATGTCCTCAAATCTCATCCATGTAGTATCTTGTGTCAGACCTTCCTTTTGGTGACTGGATAATATTTCATTGTATGTAGTGACTGTAGACACATACCTGGACAGCCATGTCCCAAACACAGATAGGTGCAAAGGTTCTGGAACAGGCCATTCCTGGTCCCTTGGTGGCCTAGCGAGGAGGCCAGTGGGCTGGAGTGGAGGGGGAGAGGGAGTGAGGAGTGGAGACTGAAACCCCTCCATGAGTTTGGATATTCAGAGTATGGCCAGGAGTGGTACAGAACTGGTGTTTAGTCTTTATTGCTGGCAGTCATTGGGGCATTTTGAGCCTGGGAACCACATGCTTTGACCTACAATTGAGAACCATCACTCTGGCAGCCATGCAGGGAATGGACTGCAGGGGTGGCATGGCAGCCAGGACACCAGGGAGGAGGCTGCAGTGATGTTATTGTTTCATTGCTTTTCTCTGTTGTTTTCTTGTTTCCAATTTCATTGATTTGCTCTCATCCTTTTGCTTTTCTCCTTTCCTTGGATTGATTTTCTCTTCTTTTTCTAGTGTCGTGAGGTAGCAACTTAGACTAGTGATCTTGAGAAAATTTTCTATTATAAACATTTAAATTCCCCTCTTAAGCAGTGCCTTAACTGCTTTCCATACATTCTGCTATGTTATATTTTTATTTTTATTCAGTTCTCTATTTTTTTTAAGAATATATACTTTAATTAATTTCAGAGAGGAAGGGAGAGGGAGAGAGAGAGAGAAACATCAATGATGAGTCATTGATTGGCTATCTCCTGCACATCTCCCAACTGGGGATTGAGCCCATAACCCAGCATGTGCCCTGACCAAGAATCGAACCATGACCTCTTGGTTCAAAGGCCAACCACTGAGCCATGCTGGTTGGGCTCTATTTTATTTCCTTTGAGACTTCCCCTTTGACTCCTGGCTTACTTAGAAGTAAGGTGTTTAATTGACAGATATTTAGAGATTTTTTGCATTGTTTTTCTGTTATCTTTATCTATATAAAAGCCTAAGTGACCGTCCGACCATCCGACGGATAGCTATGACGTGCACTGACCATCAGAGGGCAGATGCTCAACGCACAGGCCTGGAAACATGGAACAGACTGATGAATCTCAGAGGAAAAGAGGAAGGGGAGGGTGGGAATAGATTAACAAAGATCTTATATGCATACTAGATTTGTGCCCCCATGGGGTCTTGACCTGGTCTTCGGGGATCGGGCAGAAATCAGCTCTCTGACATCCCCTGAGGGGTCCCAGATTGTAGGAGGGCGCAGGCCTGGCCAAGAGACCCCACAGCCATGGGCCACGAGCTGCCGAGCTCTTGCAGTGTGGCCCATGCACACTGAGATGTGCCCTGGGTGTGCAACACTGACTGTATTTGAAAAAAAGCTATTAATCTGTACTTTCCGTTGAATTTGGCTGTGAACCAAATACTGCTCTAAAAAATAAAGTCTACTAAAAAAAAAAAAGGCTATTAATAATTCTTTACTATTCATTGCATATTGAAATAATCTTTTGTGTACATTGGGTTACATAAAACATATTCGCATGAATTTTATCTGTTCTTAACTTCTTGAATATAGTTACTAGGAAATGTGGAGTTACCCATGTGGCACCTGTTCGTGGCTTGTGGTCATTTCTGTTGGACATTGTGGATGTACTGTGGAACCTCAGTTCTTGAACTTATTGGTTCTGCAAGGCTATTTGAGAAGCAATTTGTTCGAAAACCAAATCATTTTTCCCCATTAAAAATAATGGAATTAATCTATTCCAGATCCCCAAATGCTTTCGTTTTAACTTATGTGTAGCACATGTCTAATACACTGTTTAATCTATAAATACTCAAATTTATCAAAGCACCCCCTACTAGCAGCCTTAAATGAATTTTTAATTTATTGCTGCCTCTGAAATGCAATCACTGGTTAACTGCTTATCAGTTATCCAATCAACAACAGTTTTTCTACCTATTCCATTGCCTGTGATTGTTGTTTTGTGAGCACTTTCACATCCTTAGCAACATTAGCACTCTTTCTGGTTTCTTTATGTTCTAAAATTGTGCTAATCATTGATTTTGCCAGCAACCAAAGCATTCTCTCTTTTGTTCCCTGAGAGATGCTTTTTGTCATGCTGAGGTGTCAGCATGAAAGGGTTGTCAGATTGAAAACTGAAGTTTTGGCCTAGATAGCCACATCTGAGAAACAGGTTTGACTGTCTGTGAGGTCATTTTAACTTAGAGGAGCTTTTGTATTTTGATGACAGCAAGTTGATCAGATTTGACCATGGTGATTCCTGCACGATGGGCCCTGTTCAATCGGCCTCTCCTGGCCCGGAGTTAGAACTTACTCTCATTGTATCACGTAATGAAACTGTTTTATACTCTGCTTTCTTTTATCTTGTATTTGATTTAATAGGACTTGAATTGGCAAGGGCAGTAGCTGCGTGAATGACTAGGGCCCTGAGGAGACTCTTAACTCGGTGCCATTAGAGAGGTGCTCATATGCTCCGAGAATATGCTGGGTAGCCAAGTCCTCTTGGAGGTGCCTTAGCAGGGCTGGCCAGCTGGAATGTTCTAATGGCTTGTCTCTCACAGGAGTGGTTCTCTCAGCAACTGTCGGATCATGTTTGTGGATGAAGTTTTCAAGATTGAGCGTCCTGGCGAGGGGAGCCCCATGGTTGAAAACCCAGTGAAAAGTGAGTTCTGATTCTGCCTCCTGTGTCTCCGGAATGAGGGGTGGGGCTCCTGTTTCTTTGGCTGGCCCTGTCAAGCTGACCCCCGCTGCTGTGTCCAGGGAAGAACAAGCCCTTCTGCAATAAATGCAAGGATAACCCAAGCAAGCCCTGCCACGAGTGTTCCTGCAGCCTGTGTGGGAGCAAGCAGGATCCTGACAAGCAGCTCATGTGTGATGATTGCGACCACGCCTTTCACTTATATTGTCTCAACCCGCCTCTCAGCAGTGTTCCCCCGGAGACGGAGTGGTGAGTGGATGCCATGAATGCTCCAGTGGCGGGCTTGGGGCCGCGGTGCTGAGCTATCCAGGAGAGGGGGCTGGTGGGTGCCAATAAATAGCACGAATGTTGTCTGTCCCTGGTAAACCCATCAGGGCAGTGAGAGAAATGGGGTGAGGGAACGTCCTGTGACCCAGGTGTGGCCTAGGCCTCTGGGTAACTGAGGGGAGGCAGAGAGCCGGGCATCTCCGCATTGCCCAAGAGCAGGTTTGTTGGCCATGATGCTCTTGGCTCAGACGAGTAACTGCCAACGTCATCGAAAGGTGGGGTTACACAAGGCTCTGGTGTTAACACCCTAACCTGTTAACTGTGGTCACTATAACTTGGAGGTGGCTGTTTTTATAAGCCCTCTTTGTGGAGATGGGGAAACTGAGTCTATGGCATTGAGGAGGTGCCCATGGAATTTCCCTTGGGGAGGTGCTGTGAAATTCCCAGCAGGAGAGGGACAAGAGTCTGTTCAGTAGAATGTTCTGGGATTATGGCAAGGTTCTCTCTCTGCACTTTCATGACGGTTGACACTCCTCATGTGGCTACTGACCACTTCATATTATATGTGGCACGTATGACCGAGGAACTGGTTTTCTTGTTTAATTTTAATGAATTTAAATGTAAAAGATTTCCCATTTCGGACAGCTCAGGAGGTTGGGAGCTGGAAGGAGCCGGCTATGTCTGCAGGGCTAGTAGGAGGGGGGCGGGCTAAGGACAGAGGGTGATGTCTCTATTGTCACAGGTTCTGCCCTAAATGTCGAAATGACGCCAGTGAGGTGGTGTTGGCAGGGGAGAAGCTGAAAGAGAGTAAGAAGAAGTCGAAAATGGCATCGGCCACATCATCCTCGCAGCGGGACTGGGGCAAGGTGAGGTGGCCCCGTTGCTCTATACTCCCCCGGCAGCTCTGCCCGCCCTCCCGTGCTTGCTCACACTTCCATCTCTTCCACTGGACAGGGCATGGCGTGCGTGGGCCGCACCAAGGAGTGCACCATCGTTCCATCCAACCACTACGGACCCATCCCAGGGATCCCTGTGGGCACCATGTGGAAGTTCAGAGTCCAGGTACGTGTAAACATCTGGAGTTCGGCCTCAGGCACTGATCTCCCAGAAGCCCCTTCGCTGGAGAGGGCCACCCTTCGAGCAGGTGGCATGGCTGGAACTAAAGCCAGCTCCTCCTGTGCTGTGGCCCAGACCAGCGTTCTCTCACAGGCGTGTTACACTCAGAGCGAAAGTCAGGCCCCTGGCTCTGCAGCAGCAGCAGGCAGTCCAGAAGGTGCCATTTGCTTCTTGGTGGTTTTCACAGGTCAGTGAGTCAGGAGTCCATCGCCCGCACGTGGCGGGCATCCATGGCCGGAGCAATGATGGGGCGTATTCCCTGATCCTGTCTGGGGGGTATGAGGACGATGTGGTAAGTAGGGGTTGTTTTATTTATTTTTTAAATGTAAAATACACATAACATAAGATGTGCCATATTAATAATTTTTAAGTGTATACATCTCAATGGAATTTAAATACATTAACATTGTTGTGTAACCATCACCAACATTTATTTCTAGAACTTTCTCAGCTTTCCAAACTGAAACTTTGTCCCTATTAAATGATAACTCCTAATCCCTTTCTTCCAGCTCCGGGATCCCACCATTTACTTTCTGTCTCTGAATCCTGTAGGGACCTCCTCTGAGTGGAATCACACTATAAGTTCTTTTGTGACTGGGTTATTTCACTGGGCATAATGTCCTCAAGGTTCATCCATGTGGAATATATTGCAGAATTTCCTTCCTTTTTAAAGGCTGAATAATATTTCATTGTCTGAACAGACTATATTGTGTGTATCCATCAGTGGATACTTGGATTGCTTTCACTTCTTAGATATTGTGAATAAAATGCTGCTGTGAATATGAGTGCACAGATACCTCTGAAATGCCCTTCTTTCAGTTCTTTTGGGTAGAGACAGACCCAGAAATGGCATAGCTTGGTCACATTTCATTTTTTGAGGGACCTCCATAGCATTTTCCACAGCAGCTGCCCCATTTTCCATTCCCACCGGCAGTGCACAGGATTCCCAATTTCTCCACATCCTCCTCCTCCTCATCACTGGTTATTTTCTGTTTCTTTGACAGTTGACATTCTAGGGGTGTTGTGAGTTTCTTTTTAGTGGAGGCTTTGCTCTGTGTGGAGGGTTCAGCTTGTCCTTCCCTGTTGCAGGACAATGGGGAGTTTTTCACGTATACTGGTAGCGGTGGTCGAGATCTTTCCGGCAACAAGCGGACTGCAGAACAGTCCTGTGATCAGAAACTCACCAACACCAACAGGTTTGCAGAAACAAGATTTTCTTATTTTTTTACTAACTCACTTCTGCCGCATCTTCTAGCTGCTACATCTTTCTATCTCTGTCTGCTAAAGACTTGTGAGTCATTCAGTGCATGAGAGCAAGCATGTTAAGCTCGAGGCCCATGGGTCACAATGAATATTTCTGCGGCCCAGCCAATATAAAATGTAAGAAACATTTTAATAAGAATCACGTAACTTAATTTTTATAATATCCTGTTATACGTGATTATTAGTAACAAACTACAACTTCACTAATAACTGATCACTGTAATCGTGTTGCATTTATTTCCCTTAAGCGTCTTACACGCGGGCGCAGCATTTCTCTCCACTAGAGTGAATATTTTAGCAGCCAGTTGCCACGTCATTAGTCTTGGACTGACTTGTTTGGTGTGCGCAACAGGAAATATTTCGCTTTGGGAGAACAAGAAAAATAGGTTTGTTTGCGTTACGCTTATTAATTTGTGCAGTTATTCAGTGTCTGGTAAGTTAATGTTCAAGAAAAAATATTAATTTTTATTAAAATGTTCTATTTTATGTTAACGATTACTCATTTATTTCAGCCCTTTGTATTCAGCATGTCTCTATTGAAATAAACCTACATTTCTATGGAAGTTGAAGCTTTTGTTTTTTTTTTTTTTTTTTTTTTGTGGCCCACATAAACTTATTTAGCCCATGTTAGCCTTTGAGTTTGACATGCTTGCATTAGAGTGAAATTTTCCCTGAAGAGGCCAGATAATCTTTTGGCTTTTTGAACTGCATGGTCTCTGTTGCAGCCAGTCACCTCTGCCATAGCACAAAACCAGCACCAATCAACTTATATAAATAAACATGTATGGCTGTGGTCCAATAAAACTTGATCTGAAAAGCCAATCAGTGTGGTGAAGTTTTCTGACCCCTCAATTGTAGGATAGGGAAAGGTATTTTGTTGTTGTTAATCTTCCCAGAATATTTTCCCTTTTTTTTTGAGAGAGTGAAAGGGGGGGGAGGGGGAGAGAGAGAGAGAGAGAGAGAGAGAGAGAGAGAGAGAGAGAGAGAGAGAGAGAGAAACATCTGATGTGACAGTCACATCAATTGTTTGCCTCTTTTTTGGGAACAAGCCTGCAACTGAGGTATGTGCCCTGACCTGAATCAAATCTGGGATCCTTCAGTCTGAGGGCTGGTGCTCTATCCACCGAGCAAAACTGGCCAAGGCGGGAAAGTCTTTGTAAGCATAAAAAGTATCATAAAGCCTTGCCATGGCCGGTTTGATTCAGGTCAGAGCACATATCTTGGTTGCAGGCCCCATCCCAATTAAGGGACATGGAGGAGGCAGCTGATGGGTGTTTCCCACATCGATGATTTTTTCCTCCTTTCTCTCAAATCAATAAAAAAATATTTTTTTAAAAAAGTATTATAGCCGGGACCAGTTTGGCTCAATGGATGGAGCGTCGACTTGGGGATTGGGGGGGTCCCGGTTTCGATTCCGGTCAAGGGCAAGTGCCTTGGTTGCGGGCATGTCCCCGGTGGGGGGTGTGCAGGAGGCAGCTGATTGATGACTCTCTCTCATTGATGTTTTTGCTCTCTGTCTCTCTCCCTTCCTCTCTGTACAAAATCAATAAAATATATTAAAAAAAAAAAAAAGTATTATAGCTGAGGCTGGTTTGGCTCAGTGGATAGAGCGTTGGTTTGAGGACTGAAGGGTCCCGGGTTTGATTCCGATCAAGGGCATGTACATTGGTTGTGAGCACAACCCCAGTGGGGGGTGTGCAGGCGGCAGCTGGTTGATGTTTCTCTCTCAATGTTTCTGGCTCTCTGTCCCTCTCCCTTCCTCTCTGTAAAAAAATCAATAAAATATATATTAAAAAAAAAAAGTATTATAAAGCCCAAAGGAAAAGATAGATTTGGTAATTAAATATTAGAAGTTGCGTTCATAAACCCATAAGTAAAATGAAGAGGCAGATGACTCTTTGGGGGAAAATCTGCAACAAAAATAACACATGATTGTTATGCAAAGAGCTGTTGCAAATCAACAAGAAAAACTAATTTTAAGAAAGGCCATGCAGGTCATTCACAAAAGAAATGGAACTCTCTAATGACCATGAAAAATTGTTCAACTTTAGTAATCAAAGAAATACAAATTGAAGTGATGGTGAGATACTATTTATTTCCCCTGTGAAATGCCAAGGCATAGACTGGTGTTCCCCTTTTGGGAGAAATACAACATTTTTCTGGAAAGGTGTTGAAAATGATCTTATGACACCAGTTCTACTTCGAAAGTGTATGATGAGACAAGGGGAGGGGAAAATCTTGTAAGTAGTAATATTTATCTTATCAATATGTAAAATAGCAAAGTATTAGTACCTGAATTCTTTTTTTTTAAAGGTAAGGATTCGTTGTACATTTTAGTAGAATATTTTAATTTCAGTAACTGTTAAAAATCATGTTTTCAGAAAAGATTTAATATGAGGAACTGCCTGTAAGCTAACATTGTGATGCTGCACACAAATTAAGAAACTTGTTTAAAAATTACTGTTTGCTCTGGGACCGGTTTGGCTCAGTGGATAGAGCGTCGGCTTGGGGACTGAAGGGTCCCGGGTTCGATTCCGGTCAAGGGCATGTACCTTGGTTGCGGGCATATCCCCACTAGGGGGTGTGCAAGAGGCAGCTGATCGATGACTCTCTCATCGATGTTTCTAACTATCCCTTCCTCTCTGTACAAAACCAATAAAATATATTTAAAAAAAAATTTACTGTTTGCACCCAGAAAATAATTACATAGTTGCTTTTTCTTTCACACCCAATAAGGAGGTCAGAGTGCTGAGCCTGGCATCTGGTTGGCTTGCCCCGGCCCCTGTGCCCTTGAGTGAAACAGACCTGCCTGGCCAGCCCTTGTTTGCTGTCTCCTCTTTTTCTTTCATTTTTAAAAATAAATTTTATTGATTTTTCACAGAGAGGAAGTGAGAGGGAGAGAGAGTCAAACATCAATGAGAGAGAAACATCGATCACCTGCCTCCTGCACACCTCCCACCGGGGATGTGCGCACAACCAACCCCTTGACCGGAATTGAATCTGGGACCCTCCAGTCTATAGGCTGATGCTCTATCCACTGAGCCAAACTGGTTAGGTGATCCTCTTTTTCTTGATGATGTCCTCTCCACATGCTATAGTAGCTCGTGGCTCCAGTAATGAAATACCACGAACTGGGCAGTTTAAAACAACAGAAATTCTCACATATTTCTGGAAGCCCAAAGTCAAAATCAAGATGTTACAAGGCCATGCTCTCCCTGAAATTTCTGTGGGAGGGTCCTTCTTGCCTCTTCAGCTGTGGTTACCAGCAATCCTTGGCCTCTTTTCTTGTGGCGGCATCACTCCAGCCTCCGTCTTTACATGGTATCTTCTGTGTGTCTGTGTCTCAATTTCCTTTTCTTCTAGGGACACTAGTTATTGGATTTAGGGTTCCCCTCATCCATTCTGACCTCTGAACTTGACTTTATCTGTAAGCACCCTTTTTCCAAAGAAGGTCACATTCATAGGTTCCATGGGTTAGGATGCCCTTTCTTTTTGAGGGATACAATCTATACTATAACATGTGACACCCACCCCCCCCTTCGCAGGGCACTGGCTCTCAACTGCAATGCCCCCATCAACGAACACAAAGGGGCCGAGGCCAAGGACTGGCGCTCAGGGAAGCCGGTCCGGGTGGTGCGCAACACCAAGGGCCGCAAGCACAGCAAATACGCCCCCACTGAGGGCAACCGGTACGACGGCATCTACAAGGTGAGAGGTCCTCCCTGCCCCCACCGGCGCCACCTCCAGTCCCAGATGACACTGACGTAGGCTCTCACTCCCCACAGGTTGTGAAGTACTGGCCTGAGAAGGGGAAATCCGGCTTCCTGGTATGGCGATACCTTCTGCGGAGGGACGACGATGAGCCTGGCCCCTGGACGAAGAAAGGGATGAACCGGATCAAACAGCTGGGACTGACCATGCAGGTGTGTGCAGGCCGTGCTCACCTGGCCCCCAGGCCTGCTTGGAGCATCATCTTCCTGGCCAGTCACTTGGGATCATGGCAGGAGAACTGGGCTGTGAGTGCTCAGCTAGCCAGAGCCTGCCTTCTTGGCCTGGAAGCTCTTGGGTTTCTCTTTCATCCTAAATGATGTCTAGGAGCTGAGCTGGCCACACCTTGCTGCTGTCTACCGCATTTCAATTCCACAGCCAGTGGAGTTTGGGGATGGGCAGATTGTGTTCGTAGTTTTAGAGTTGAGATCCAGACTTCTTACCTGTGTTAGTAGATGGGTTTATCTGAAAAACAATAACAACAACAACACACACCCAGTGGAGAAGTCAGTTCTAAAGATAAGGAGGATTGGTCCCTCCCTGCCATCGCTTGTCTTTTTACAGAAGTGGAATCTTCTATTTTCCAAGAATTCACCCTGTGCTGGAATAGGGCTTTTGACACTATAATTGTGCTGTTTTTTGTTTATTATTATTGTGAGGTACTCTAACAGCTGATAACTGTTTTGGGACTATTTAAGGAGTCTTAATTGTCACTGAGAATCTGATAGCGCCTACCCTCTGGGGGGCGTTACAAGAGTTGTCTTTTGAACATAACGTGTGTACATGGGGAATTTCAAAAGTTAGGAACTGGGGAGAACAATAGCTGTGGGACGGGAACATCAGCTTCTCATGGGAGTAGGGTTTCCATTACAACTTAGTGTTTCGTTTAACAAAGTTTGAAGTTTCTGAATGTAATATTTCTGAATCAGATGTGACTCTAGGCATCTTAGATCTAGGGTTATATCAAAGTAATGCTTGTGTGGACCTGGAGCCCAAGGGCCATCGGAATGAGATTGGATGGCAGGAAGGTCCCCAGGGGACAGTTTTTAGCAAAAAAGTTTTCTGAGATGCAACCACAGCAGAGCTGGAATATATTTACCACCCGACCTCTTTGGGAAGGTTTGCCTACCCCTTAAAGGAAATAATAAAGATAATAAAATGATCATGTTGCTGGATCTGATCCCAAGCATTTTACCTATACAACGTCTCATTTAATGTGTCACTCTCACCCTGCCAGGGCAGGTTAGCTCTGCATTCTTTGTAAGTGCGGTGATGAGATTGCTGCTCCAGGCTCTTGAGTTGAGTGGAAGCCTCAGATCTGAGGCTGTAAAAGTAGGAGTTAAGCTTTTAAGGCTGGTATGGGGCCAGGGGAGGGAGTGACTTTGAGTGACAGTTGTCAAAGTGGGGCAGTCGCCGGTCTCCAACCCCACAGGGAGTCTGGATCACCCAGGTCCACCGCTCCAGCCTGTTCATCAGCAGTTGCCTTTGCCCTTTCGCAGTTTCCAGAAGGCTACCTTGAGACCCTGGCCGAGAAGGAGAAGGAGAAGGAAAAGGAGAAAGAGAACAGAAAGAAGCCAACTGAAGAGGAAGAGGCGAAAGATGAAGAGGAGGGAGAGGAGGATCTCACTATCAGGAAGGGCAAACGGAAGAGTAAGTCAGAAGGCAGGTCTTTCTCCATGGGCAACCTGTCCATGTGCTCTTGGGCTCGCCTGCCCTTACCACTTTGCTCTGTCTCAGGTTCCTGCTCCCTGGGAGTTACACCCAAGAAACCCAAGGTGGAGCCTTACAGCCTCACAGCCCAGCAGAAAAACCTCATCAAGCAGGACCTGAGCAACTCTAAGCAGTGGACCGAGATCCTCAAGTCACTCAAGGATGGGCCGGTGAGCACCCGTATGGCCTGAGTGGCCTTCCTGAACCTTTAGCTCTCACCGCCATCTCCTTCCCCCACCATTTTTTTTAAAAAAAAATTATTATAACAAAATAGAGATAACAAAGTGTATCATCTTAACCATTTTTCAGTGTACAGCTCAGTGGCATTAAAAGATATTCACATCATCATGCATTCACCCCATCTGCATTCATCTCCAGAAATTTCTCATCTTCCCAAACTGAAATTCAGTCCCTGTTACACACTAACTGCCCATGACCTCCCCTAGCCCGTGGCATCCACCGTCTATCTCCTGTCTGACTGACTCCTCCAGGGACTCCCTGAAAGGGGAATCACAGTATTTGTTCTTTAGTGCCCAGCTTATTTCACTAAGCATAATGTCCTCAGGTTCATCCACACCGTGGCAGGTGTCAGAACGGCCTTTTTAAGGCTGAATCATACTCCATTGTCTGGAAAACGACATTCTCTTTATCTGTCGTTTGTCAGTGGACAGTGGGTTGTTTCCGTTTTTTGGCCAGCATGAATCATGCTGCTATGTACATGGGTGTGCAGCCATCTCTGTGAGTCCTGGCTTCCAATCCTCTTGGGTATATAGTTGTTCCTCAATTTACCATGGGGCTTTGTCCCAATAAATATATCGTAAATCATATGCATTTGATGCATCTAACCCACTGAATATCACAGTTTAGCTCAGTCCACTGTGAATGTGCTCAGGCACGCACATTAACTCCACTTGGTCAACAGCCTCTCTCTGCCCCACAGGTCAGTATCAGACTACATATCACTAGCCCAGGACAGGATAAAAATTAAAAATTGAAATATGTTTTTTACTAAGGAATTGAACCTGTGACCTCTTGGTTCCTGGGTTGATGTTGGCCCCTCCCAGGGCTCCCTGTTATCTTTCCTAGCACTGTTGTGACATTTCTGCCTTTCCCTGTTTTATCTTTGCCCCCTTCTTACCCCCCAATAGGGCTCCAAGCTCCATGAAGGCATAGAGTTCTTCTGTTTAATCCCCTACTGGGCCCCGTGCCTGGGCAGCACGTCGAAGGCACTCAGCCTTATTTACAGAGTGAGCTAGATTCATGCCCTCAGATTAAGGCTGCTCTTCACCCCGACCCTGGGCGTCCTGCTCAGCACTATGGAGGCTGTGACCCTGGCAGGCTGTGCCCATCTCCAGGTTTTGGGCAGGGCCTGCACCTGTTGGGCCTCTGCTTTCTCATCCTAATGGGGATCACAACCACTCCTGTCTCCTGGGGTACAGATAGGAGGAGGGTTTAAATTAGGGAACCAGGACCAGGCTCCAGTAGGGAGCCCCGTTTTTGAGGGTTCCATCGGCATGGTTGTTCATTTCGGTGTAAGGTTCTGCTGGTCTCATGCATCCTCTTTTCTGGTTCCAGAAATTCCTGAATAAAGTAGAAGAAACATTCCAGTGTATCTGCTGCCAGGAACTGGTATACTCCCCAGTCAGCACCGGGTGCCAACACAACGTGTGCAAGGTGAGAGGCGTGGGCATGGGAGCTGGGCCGCCACACACCCAGCCCATAGAATGGGCTTGTTGGCTTGGCTTCTGCACACTCTTGGCTCTCTTTGCAGGGCCTCAGTGTCTTGTTCTCCAAATAGCCTTGGTTATAGTTGTCTTCCGGCCTTCATCAAGGGATCCCAGCGTCCCACTTCCCACCCTCCTGTGCTCCCCTGGTGCTGTGGAATCAAGTGCCAAATCCTTGCCCCAGTCGCTGAGCCCACTGGGCTGCCTGGCACTCCAGTGTTACCTCGCCTCATGATTCTCTCTGCTGTGTGTTGGCTGGTTCTCTCCTCCCGGGGAACACTCTCCCCAAGCCTCTCATGTACCTGGGGTCCAGTGTGGGAGAGCATAGTCGGCAGTCCTGGCTGGAGGTCTTGTCACAATAAATGTCTGTAAGCAGGCAGTAGAGTTCCGCTGGTGTGCTCAGTGGTTGAGCATCAATCTAAGTATCAAGAGGTCCCTGGTTCAATTCCTGGTCAGGGCGCAAGGCTGGGTTTCAAGCTCAATCCCAGTAGGGGGTGTGCAGGAGGTAGCTGATTCATGTTGAGGCATTGATGTTTTTTCTCTCCCTCCCACTCTCTCTAAAATCAGTAAAAACATTTTTTTAAAAAGAGCTAGCTATAGAGGCATGAGGTGCTTGTCTCCTAGAGAAGGTAGAAGGAAGGCTTCCTGGAGGAGGGGGCCTTAACTTGTTACCTGAAGAGGGCCTCTGGGAAGCATTCCAGACAGGCAGGAAGGCGTGTGCAGAAGTTTGGACAGGCAGGCGTGCCTGAACAGCTGGAGCCTGGAGGGGAGTAGGGCTGGGAGGTGGGCCATAGGCTCTGCCTGGCGGTCAGTTTCAGGAGAGAAACAATATGATTGAAAGAGAGATGGGGAGCTGAGATCATATTAGACCAGGGCCTCCCCTCCCCCTTGCACTGTGGACATTGGGGCCAGAACATTCTCTTGGGGGGGGGGGCGTGTATTTTGGGCACTGGGGAAGGGGGGGGTTTGAACAGCTTCCCTAAGCCCATCCACTTGCTTCTCCAGTCATGACAACCACAGATATCCCCAGACATGGCCCAGTGTCTCCTGGGGGCAGAATTGTCCAGGTGGGAAGCACTAGCCTGTGTAACTAGTTTCTTTGCAGTGTTAGAAGTGACTGTCCCCACCCCCTGGTCATCCTTGGTCTCTGAGCTTCTGGCTCTTTTGTTCTCTGATCTGGCCCCCTTCCCTGCCTTGAGGCTGTCTCAGTCCCTCAGGGGGAGGGGCTCAGAGAACATGAAGCAGCGAGGTCATTTGGTGTCAGAGCCAGGCCTCCACTTTTCTGCTCTGGGCTCTGCCACCAGGTTTCTGATGGTGTTCCTTCAACTCTGTGACTTGGAGAAGTGGCTTAGGATGGGGGGTGAGATAAGGGCTTTGGAGCCAGCAGCCAGGGTCTGCCCCTCCCCTCAGGCCTGTCCCTCCCATCCTTGGAAACCACCCAACTCTCCAAGCCTTGGTTGCCCCTCAGTGAAAAGAGGTGTAGCAGTAGGTGACACGTGCTAAAGTGCTTTAGGCAAGCAGGCAGAGTGGGCCATGTGATGCAGGGGGAGCTTACAAAACGTCAGTCCTGGAGAGCACTGTAGAAATGGACTGAATTGATGGGGTTTCAGGGACCAAGCGTCTCAAGTCATATGTGTCATTAAAGTGTCAAGGCTGCCCTGGCTATTGTGGCTCGGTTGAGTGTTATCCCATGCACTAACCAAAAGGTCACCAGTTTGATTCCTGGTCAAGGCACATGCCTGGATTGTGGGCTGGATCCGTAGTAGGATCGTGGAGGAGGCAGCAGATTGATGTTTCTCACGTTAATGTTTCTCTCCCTCTCCTTTCCTCTCTCTCCAAAAACAACAAAGTGCCGAGGCTGTGAAGGAAGAGGGTACTGACATTTACATGTCTGCCCCAACTGTCTGTGCAAACCGCGGCTCGTGAGCCACATGTGGCTCTTGAGCCGAAGTTTGCTGACCACCGTCCCAGAATATCAGCATGTGAGGGTTATAGGAAAATCCTCCTCCACCTTGATGTCCCAGCACCTATTTTTTATTTTATTAAACCATTGTGTAATAGTAAAATACACATAACATAAAATTTATCATCCTAACCATTTTTTCTAAAATCCTCACCCGAGCCAAGACCGGTTTGGCTCAATGGATAGAGCGTCGGCTTGGGGACTGAAGGGACCCGAGTTCGATTCCGGTCAAGGGCATGTACCTTGGTTGCGGGCCTATCCCCAGTAGGGGGTGTGCAAGAGGCAGCTGATCGATGACTCTCTCTCTTCGATGTTTCTAGCTTTCCATCTCTCTCCCTTCCTCTCTGTACAAAATCAATAAAATATATTTTTTAAAAAATAAAATCCTCACCCGAGGATATTTTCCCATTGATTTTAGAGAGAGTGGAAGGAGAGGAAAAGACAGAGAAATATCAATGTGAAGAAACACATCGATTGGTTGCCTTCTGCATGCACCCCAACCAGGGCCCGGGCTGGGGAGGAGCCTGCAACCATGGTAGATACCCTTGACTGGAATCAAACCCAGGATCCTTCAGTCCACGGGCTACCGCTCTATCTATTAAGTCAAACCAGCTAGGGCATCCTAACCATTTTGTGTATAGTCCAGTAGTAGTAAGTACATTCATACTGTTGTGGAACTATCTCCACCACCCATTTCTAGAACTTTTCCATCTTTACAAACTGAAACTCTGTCCCTATGAAACACTAACTCTCCATCCTCCTACACCAGCACCTGGGTTCCCACCATCTACTTTCTTTTTTTAAATTTTTGTAATTTTTATTGTTGAAAGTATTACATATGTCCTCCTTTTCCCCCCATTCACTCCCTCCAGCCTGCCCTTGCCTCCCATCCCAAGTCTTTACCACTTTATTGTCTGTGGCCATGAGCCATGCATGTATGCATACAAGGTCTTTGGTTGATTACCTCCCCTCCCCTCCCCCGCCCTCCCCTGCCTTCCCTCTGAGTTTCCACGCTCTGTTGCATGGCTCAGGATCCACTCCATTCATCAGTTTATTTATTTATTTTTTATTAGATTCCACATATGAGTGCGATCATATACTTGTCTTTCTCTGACTGGCTTATTTCACTTAGCATGATACTTTCCAGGTCCCTCCATCTGTCTCAAAGGGTAAAAGATTATTCTTTTTTACCGCTGCATAGTATGCCATGGTGTAAAGGTACCACCGCTTTTTTATCCACTCATCTACTGACCACCATCTATTTTCTCTCCCTGTGGATCTGACTCTTTTAGGGACCTCCTATGACTGAACCTCCTGCAATGTGTGTCCTTTTGTGTCTGGCTTCTCTCACTTGTCCTCAAGATTTATCTACACTGTAATGAGTGTCAGAATTCCTTTTTAAGGCCAAATACTAGTCCTTTGTCTGGATGGGTCACACTCTCAGTATCATTCATCTGTGGATGGACACTTGAGTTGTTTCCACCTTTTGGGTGCTATGAATCATGCAGTGATCCAGAACCTGGTTTTTGAACATCGTCCCAAATCTTAGTTGTTTTGAGCAGAAACAGTTACCTTTTGTCCCCAGAATCAAGGCTACAAAACTTTTTATTGAAAAAGGAATTTAGAAATTGAAAGAATGTCAAACAAAAGCCTCAGCATGCATTCGTGGTGGAACATGCCGTGGCGTCAGCAGGCTTTCCATCATGTTCAGTTACCCAGTTGCCTGATGTCATCCTTTAGGTGTGCACACCTATGCAGGTGTCTGCATACTTGTGTGCATTGTCTCTGCCCAGGTGGGTGGTGTCTTACCTGTTTCTCTGATTGGGAAGTTGTCTCCACCTGGCTTAGTTTGAGCCCAGAAGTTTGATTCAGTGCCAGAATTCCTTCCTTTCTTCTTTTATTCGCATTGATGCATATTTATCACCTATGTGTTTTGACCTTTGCTTGATGCTGGGAAAGTCAATAAGATACAGCTGCATATCACAGGGAGCATCTGGCCTGTTAGAGACAAACGTTAGTAAATAATACACTGCCAGAGGGCAGAAAAGGTGCTGTTTTAAGGCAGATTGGGGAGATAATAGGACTGGCTGTGGTGGGGTTGCTTATGATGATGCTCAAGGGCTGCCAGGGGAGGGTCCTCTGAGCAGGTGACTGGAGCCAAGGCATGAGTGAGGGGAGAGCCAGAGGAAGACCTGCTAGGTTGTGTAATCTGTAAGTGCCAAGGCCTGGCGGCCAGGATAAATTTAAGAGTCTTTGAGGTGACCTTGGGAGGTCAGGCTGGCAATGGGCAGTGAGTGGTAGAAAGTGAGACTGAGGGCTAGGAGGGGGCCTCTGGACCCCATGAGAAGTCAGTAATTGCTCTCAACTCTGTCGGGGGGGACAGTGGGTGGGCAGAGTGGCTCCGCTGACGTGGACGGAACGACTCACCTTCCTGCTCTCTCTTATAGGAGTGCCTGGATAGATCCTTCAAAGCCCAGGTGTTCTCCTGCCCTGCCTGCCGCAAGGAACTGGGCCGAAACTACTCCATGCAAGTGAACCATTCGCTGCAGGAGATCCTCACGCAGCTCTTCCCCGGTTATGGCCGTGGACGGTGATCCACAAGCACTTCTCGCCGGGCGTTTTTAAAAAACGCACCTCGGCCCCTCTTGTTTTTAGTGGGCTTAACTTAAGTATGTAGTTTTTCCTCTACTTCCCTAAAAGCCTTGTCTTCCTGGTTTTGCTTTTTTAAATCTATAAATTTATAGAAATTTGTTGGCTCAAAGAAAGAAAGAAGGAAAGTTAGACTGCTCGGTGTTTTATCTTGGTTTTTTAAAAAAGTATAAAGCCTGCAGTGTATGAGCAAAAACACAAATGTTTTTTCTGAAGATGAAATTAGAAATTACTTGGCCTGAAGGTCGCTATGTTGCCAACATCAAGTTCTCAGAGGCTCCTGCAGGAAGGCATTGACTGCCTAGAACAATCTTTTCCAGGTGTGTGGGCTTGGCCCCAAAGCTGAAAGTGGGCACACCTCCTGACAGCATTTCTTCGCCAGAACTCAGCAGGGTGGTACGTGGTGGTGGCCCTGGGTGTGGCATGGCCCAGGAATCATCCCTCAGGACCTGTTGAAAGGGAAAAAGGAAAAGATCCCATTCAGCCCAGTTTAAACTCTCGCCTCAAAGCCATCTGCCACCAGCCGGCTTCCATGGTTAAGACCCACAAGCAGAGACCTGTGTCCCTTGAGCAGAGTTGAGGCCACACAGAAGCTACCTCCGCTCGACTCTCCTGCATGTGGAGCTGGTGTGCAGCCAAACGCTGTCCAGTCTGGAACGCCGGAGAAGTAGATGCACTAAGCCATGTTCAAGTGCCTTTGGTTCTTTCTTTCTAAACACGGGGCTCTTTTTTAGCACTGAATTATTGAAAATGCCAACCAGATTCTCAGATAGGCCAACCAGTTCTTTCCAAATCTGGGTGAGTGTTTGGGGATAGGTTGAGTTTTGTTCTTCCTTTACATTGAATTTTCAACTCACCAATTGAGAATTATAAGAGGGAATTTGTTTTTAAAATAAATACTTTTTCTAAATGAAATTTTTTTGTAGTTACTGTATATGTACCAATAAATCTATAACTTAGGGTTTTATTTTTTTATTTTTTGGAATTATTTGTTAATTTTTCTACAAACTTTACCAAAATTTGCAGCTCATACCTCAACAGAACAGGGATATTTTAAATCACTTAACTACAGACAAACTGGAACAATATTGTTTGAAAATTTTTTCTCTCTCTTTATTAGGTTGTTAATGTATTAGGAAGAAATGACAAAATCCTGTGTAGGCATTTTCTAAAAAGTTCAATATTCTTTGTCCAGATTTTAGATTTTCAGAATAAATGTTTTTTACCGATGCATTTGGTTGTCTTCTGTTTGCAAATTGTTTTGTAGCTCACCAGGTACTTCTGTTCCTATTATTTTATTTTCACAAAAACCCCAGGAGACAGACTAGGCAGGGTAGAATCGTCCTCATTTGGCAGATGAGAAAACAGAGACCCAGAAAATCAAAGTGATGGGCAGTGGTTCTAACTCCTGCTTAGGAGGGGTTTAGCTTTGACCTTTATGGTGTTAGCAAACTACAGCTTGGAATGGGGGTGGTTACTTATTCTCACAAATGTGCTTCTGTCTCCATTTACATTTGAAGAATATAGGCTGCAGTGGTGTCTGGGAGTCTGCAGGCCTCGGGAAATTTGGGTATACCGGGTATGTGGGGACTGACAACCTGAAATGCTAATTCCAACAGAATTCAGGGCAAGGATGAGGGAAGGTACTAGTGCTGAATTCTGAAGAGGCTTTTATTTATATTGACCTATTACCCGCGCCTCTTATTGACAGCAAAGTAATGACATGGGCTGATTTAATAAGAAAGTACTGCCTTTTTGGTCTTAAAAATGTGTCATGAGTATCCTTGAAAACGTATTAAGTGCAAGAAGGCAGTCACGGTGGCTGTATATGATTTCACATGAAATCTCCAATACAGGAATCCAAAGAGACAGGTTAGAGAGGGCCTGATACGGGACAGAACACACTGTAGTGGGTTCATTGTCAAGACTGGAATTTTGGGGTGATTTCTCATTTTCAAAGTTAACAAATATAACAAAAAGTGTATTTGTGGAACCACTCCAGAAATAATCACAATATTGGATATATTGCTTTCCTGGTAGAGTTATAAAAATTCAAAAAATGGCTTTATTGAAATATAGTCTATGCTGCCATAAAGTTCACCTATATAAAGTGTACAGTTCATTGGTTTTTTAGCATGTTCACGACCTTGTGTGACCATCACCATTTTTTAGTTCCAGAAGGTTCCCATCACCCCAAAAGCAACTTCACACAATCCTCCAACCCCACAACCACAAATCCACTCTCTGGATTTGTCTGTTTTGAACACTTCAGATGAATGGAATCATGAAATGCTTGTGTGGTCTCCTGTTTCCAAGGTTCATCTATATAGCGAGGGTCAGTGCTTCGTTTCTTTTCGTGGCTAATATTCCACTGTGCGGGTGGGCCACATATTTCAACCCAGGTGATTTTTTAATGTAAAATTTCCTTTTCACCCCAGATTACAAAATTCATACACAATCCCTTTAGAACAACTTGGAAACTGACTACATGAAGAAAAAGAGTACATAATCCTGCCACCCAGTGGGTTACAGTTTTCAGGCTTTGTACATGTATGTGTGTTAGTATTGTAATATTCAACCTCAGAACAACCCTCTGATACAATTTTGACGCGGCGCTTTGTAGGTGAGGCATATGTATATTTATATATTTGTTTTATATGTAAATTTAAAGAACAAAATTGGAATAGTGCCATATATTCTGCCCATTTAAAAAAAATTTTTTTTGTGTGTGTGTGTAATATATTTTTATTGCTTTAAGAGAGAAAAGGAGCCGAGACCGGTTTGGCTCAGTGGATAGAGCGTCGGTCTGCGGACTGAAAGGTCCCGGGTTTGATTCTGGTCAAGGGCATGTACCTTGGTTGCGGGCACATCCCCAGTAGGGGGTGTACAAGAGGCAGCTGGTTGATGTTTCTCTCTCATCGACATTTCTAGTATTTCTATTTTTTATATATATTTTATTGATTTTTTTTTTTTTTTTTTTACAGAGAGGAGGAAAAAGGGATAGAGAGCTAGAAATGTCGATGAGAGAGAAACATCAACCAGCTGCCTCTTGCACACCCCCTACTGGGGATGTGCCCATAACCAATGTACATGCCCTTGACCAGAATCAAACCCGGGACCTTTCAGTCCGCAGACCAATGCTCTACCACTGAGCCAAACTGGTTTCGGCAAAACATGTATTTCTTAAAAAAAAAAAAAAAAAAAAAAAAAGGAAAGGGAGAGAAACCGATGATGAATAATTTATCAGCTGCCTCCTGCACGCCCCCTACTGGGAATGGAGCCCAAAACCTGGGCATGTGCCCTTGACCGGAATTGAACTCTAGGCAGCAGACGGTGCTCTATACACTGAGCCAAACCAGCTAGGGTCCCAGTTTTCTATTGATTTCAGTTCATTTATCAAGTATCCACTTTGTCTAACACCTTAGTAAACAAGCATGTGTGCCATGGTCTGGTATTTGCATATTTGTATCTGTGCTCATAAATGTGAAACATGCCACGTGTCTAGTGACATATGCTTGAAGGTTTGGAATGCTAGAATTCCTCCCCAAATCTTTGTTCTTTAAACATAGGAGGACATATCTTTCCACCCACCTCTATTTTTTGTGTCAGACACCTGGAAGCAGGAGTGGGACCTGTAAGGTTGGAGACATTTCTCCGCTCCACACCTTATCCATTGGGGAAGGTGAAGACCAGGTAGGTAAATATCAGGCTTCAAGCTCTTTGAAGGCCAGTACCAGTGCACCTCCTGGCCTTTGTTAGGGGAAGGATCCCCAATTGAGATTTGCACCTGTCTGCAGAGATGTGAAAACACACACACACACACAAAAATAAACAGGGCAATTAGGTGTTTTCCCCAAACTAATTTGTCCATTTGAAATTCTGGGAGTGTGTCCTTCCTACTGTGCATAATGACACTTAAAAAAAATGAGCCCTGCCAAAACCGGTTTGGCTCAGTGGATAGAGCGTCAGCCTGTGGACTGAAAGGTCCCAGGTTTGATTCCCGTCAAGGGCATGTACCTTGGTTACGGGCACATCCCTGGTGGGGGATGTGCAGGAGGTGGCTGGTCGATGTTTCTCTCTCATCGATGTTTCTAACTTTCTATCCCTCTCCTTTCCTCTCTGTAAAAAATCAATAAAACGTTAAAAAAAGAAAAATGAACCCTGCCAAAACCAGTTTGGCTCAGTGGATAGAGCGTTGGCCTGCGGACTGAAAGGTCCCAGGTTCGATTCCGATCAAGGGCATGTACTTTCATTGCGGGCACATTACCATTGGGGGTGTGCAGGAGGCAGCTGGTCGATGTTTCTCTCTCATCTATGTTTCTAGCTCTCTATCCTTTTCCCTTTCTCTCTGTAAAAAAATAAAATATTCTAAAAAAACAAATAAAATGAACCCTGTTTGGTGTGTCTCAGGCATCCTGTGCACCAAAAAGTTGTTGGTTAGATTCCTGGTCGGGGCACATGTCCAGGTTGTGGGCTTGATCTGGTTAGGGGGCATGCTAAAGGTAGCCAGCCAATCAATGATTCGCTCACATTGATGTTTCTCCTCTTTCAAAATCAATTAAAAATATTTAAAAAATAGTGATTATACTTTTCTCTAATGTTTTATCATGAAAACTTTCAGACAGAAAAGTTGAAAGAATTGTAGTAATCTTCAAATATACTCATTGTCTAGTTTCTGCAGTTGTTAATGTTAAATTTTCAACATAATAGATGGCATTAATAAAATGTCTCCCTGCGGCCAGGCCCGGGGGAGCAGGCGGGTCGGGTGCGGCCAGGCCCGGAGCAGCGGCTGCCAGGCTGGGAGCGGCCAGGCCCGGGGGAGCAGGCGGGGCTGGTGCGGCCAGGCCCGGAGCAGCGGCTGCCAGGCTGGGAGCGGCCAGGCCCGGAGCAGCAGCAGCCAAGTCCAGAGCAACTAGGTCGGGAGCGGCAGTGACCAGACCCGGAG